TTGACAAAACAAAATACCGGAACTTTATATCTTTATCAAGGAATATACTTCCAGATCAACTAAAGCTGCAGTACTCCTGATGGGACACAATTTTCTGTGACCCACTTTTCCCCTTAGGCTTTGTGGGTTTGTGACCTTTAGACCAGAAGCCTATACAAGGGAATCATTATAAGTGTCAAATTCAGCAAATAGCCTAAGAAAGAATGAAAGCTGTCCACTGATTTATCACCATGAAAGTTATGGAGATCTTAATGAGGTCAGTCCCCTTGTAGTTGTGGTAGCACAATCCAGACTACAGAGGGGTGAAGAGGAAGTAGACATGGTGAATATAGAGTCTCTTAAAAATTTGGAGAAGGTTAGATGTGGATTAAGGAAGACTTTTGCTTTATTTTGTTTTTAAAGTATGAAAGAACTCCGAGCATGATTATAGGATAAGCTAGTTACGAGGCAAAGAAAGGGGCCGGGCTGCTGATGGATCGAAACTGACCAGAAGGCTGAAGAAGGGCATGGAAGGGATTGGAGGGGCTCTTTGATCTCTGAGGCAGAAAGCACAGGAATTCAGACCTAACTAAATTTAATGTGGGCTTTTCAGAAGGAAAGTGACATGATTAAACTGTGTTTTAAGAAAATTATTTGACTCAAGCATACAGGATGGATTAGAGTGGGGAAAGGTTGCAGATGGTAACGATATTCTAAGCAAGAGATGATGGAAAAGAAAACTTATGTAGGAATACCAAAAATGAAAAGTCTACGCTACATTTCAATTGCTTGATGACATACTTCTGGGAGAATCTAGCATACAGTAATTGAAGGAGAAGAAAGGGCTATGATGACTCAAGGGTTTTGAATGTTAATATGGGAGACTGAAAGTGTGGTAGCAGTATCAGAAATGCGGCAACTGTAAAGCATAGCTAATGTAGCGAGAGAGAAATAGTAGGGTCACGATATGATGATTTGAGGTGATAGCTCTGAAACTTTAAATTTTGAAAGGAACAGTATCCTATAGGATAGAACACTGTATAGAAAATGGGGAAAATTAGGTGCTGTGTGAGAATAAATATTTCACTGAGCTAGAGTATATATGAATAGTTTAGGGCCACTCTAACACTCCCACACCAGAAAAAAATTTAAAAGAAGTTTGTGTTTTAGCCATCTCAGGTTAAGATGTCTTTGGACACGTTATCAGGAGAGGCCAGTCCCTGGAAAAGGACATCATGCTTGGTAAAGTAGAGTGACAGCAAAAAGATGAACATCCTTGACAAGATGTATCGACACAGTGGCTGCAATAATGGGCTCTAACATAGGAACAATTGTGAGGATGGCACAGGACCAGGGTTCCTAGGTAGCTGCTATGAGTTGGAACCAACTTAATGGTAACTAATAACAACAGGGTAGGTATTTTCTGAGAATTTTGTTTTATATGATAGAACCAAGGCTTTACTCAGATTCAGAAAAAAACTTTCTCCTAACCATTTAATGTTTTTCCAAATCCCAGACATTTTTCCTAGGTGACAGATGTACAATACAATTAAATAAGTTTCCACAACCTAAATGCTCATCAGTAGAAGAATGGATAAAGAAATTTTGGTACATACACACAATAGAATATTATGCATCCCTAAAAGACAATAAGGAAACCACAAAGCACCACATGGCATGTATAGACCTAGAAAGTATTAAATTGAACAAAACTAGTCAATCACAAAAGGACAAATATTGTATGAGCCATTGTTATAAGGAGAGAAAAAAAGCAGACAAAGAAATTCAAACCAAAGGGAAAAAGTGTTGCAGGTTATCAAAATGGTTGCCTTGGTACCAAGGGAGGGAAAAAGAAGCCATCGGCTAGAGCAGCGGTTCTCAACCCGTGGGTCACGACCCCTTTGGGGGGGGGGTGTCAAACGACCCTTTCACAGGGGTCACCCGGTTAGTAACAGTAGCAAAATTACAGTGATGAAGTAGCAATGAAAATAATTTTAGGGTTCGGGGGGTCACCGCAACATGAGGAACTGAATTAAAGGGTCGCAACATTAGGAAGGTTGAGAACCACTGGGCTAGAGGGTTGAAAGTATTTATTTGGGTGAAGGGGAAGACAGTAATCCCCAAGAGGGAGAAGAGAAATCAAAGGAGAAAGGTAGGGTAAGTTATCAAGGGGTTTTATAAGTAGTTTCCAAATTATTTAAGTAAGCTTCCAATCTATATACATTGGTCTGTGATTAAAGTACTGATCTATTATGGTTTAGGTTTTGGCTTCAATTAATTAATACTAACCATTTCTATTAGCACCACCACTTCACACTCCTAAATCTAGAATTTTTTAAGGTGGGAGAGAATTTACACCTATCATAGGGGCCTGAACATGGGGACTATCAGTGCTTTGCTTAGAAAATAGGTTGATGAAGTAATTCATTATGGTTGTATAACCAATAGCATGGAACAACAATTAAATCCCAGGGAACTTAAATGATTTCTTTGCTCCTTCTTCAATTTCTGAATTTTAGAAAATACTAAGGGGTTGCACAAATGGCACAGAGAGTCTATCGAACCTCCCCTGGCTACACAAGGGAGAAAGAGAATCCAACTCCACACAAACCCAAGGCAAATTGGCACAAGCAGAAGAAAGACATATCCCCATCCTCCATCTTTGTTTACCTATTCTGACACCATCTGTTCCTCCCATCACACTCCAGTGTTTTGCTGTGTTCGATAATCCATTGCAATGGCCACATAGAACTCACGGACAAAACTCATAATTATGGGGATTTATTAAGGAAGTTCACAGGTTACAAGTCAGGACCAGTAAACAGTAAGGATAGTCACTGGTCCACAGCAGCGCCTCTTCTCAGCCAGCAGCCAAGTCTCTCTCTGGTGCTCAGTCCCTCAGCCACGCGGTTCCTCTTGGCTTCTGCTTCTGTGGACCAGGTAGCCCAACTTCCTCTCTAACATTCACAGTATCATAATCTCTGAGTTGCTCCTCTGTTCTGGCTCATGGTCTCTTTGCCTCAGCCTCTGTTCTTGGCCTGGAATCCTTTGCTTTGTCCTATGTACTCAGTGCTGCAGCCTCTGGTGCCTCGGGTCTCAGCCCCCGCCGCTGCAGACAGGGATCTCAAGTGGGCTCCACTGGTGGTTCTTCTTCAGACGGTTCTGGGATTTCTCTCTGTGTTCGAGGTGGCTCTTATGTAGAGAAACAGCCTTGATGGAGGGGTGACTTTTGTCTTTCAGCAGACCAGATCCCCAAGGAAACAAAAATTGGTGACTTGATTCACACCTCTAGTAAGGTGGAGACTCAGCATATATTCCATCTTAAGCCTGTCTATTAGCATAGCAGAGAGCTCCCTACAAAATGAAATTATAACTACAGGCAGACATAGAGGCTAGGATTTGTAATACATTATATAATGGATTATGGTTAGAAGGGTTATATTAATTGTTCACATTTCAGAGGTTTAAGAGGTTTTGGAGTATAAAACTATGAACTGGATTAAGAAACCTTTTTCTGTTCTGTTATGTGGAATGATCTATACAAATACCCTGATTGCCGATAACCTGTGGTGCCAGAATCATAATTAGCTTGAGTAACAAACTGTCTCCATAGTGACAAAAAGAAGGGAAATAAAACAGTTACAAATCTGGTATCTGAATATTGTAGGCTATCTGTCAAATTATTGAACCAAGGCAAATTTTGTTAAAATTACCTAATAATAACCAAAAAATTACCTAATAAAAAAGCAAGGCTAAAAGCCTCCCCAAATCCTCCACAATTCCTAATGTTTATTAATACATTTTATGCAACCATTACAAAAGCACATTACAATAAAAATCTTCAACATGTTAAAATGAAAAGCCAACATAGGGGAGGTGGTACATATTATATGATTTCATATAATATGAACTCATTTGAAAGTCAAGGGCTAGGTGGGTCATTATCAAAATTAGAAGCAGCACGACTTTATAGAGAAAGGGGGGCCTATTTTGAAAATGTTGTAAAAGATGGCATGCCTAAGAGGATAAAAATAACACAGTACACAAACTTCCAAGTATTTGCAGTCTAAGCACATTAAAAAATGAGATTTAAGTTCTTGCTTGTTTTTTTATTTTTTTGCTTTGCAACTATTAGGAAGTTCTTATCCCTTTTATTTTCACAAAAATTAGCCACAATTTCAATTAAAAACAACCAACCAGAGGATTCCTTTCCATAGCTATTAAGGGATTACATATTTAATATTTGTGCCTACAAAATCCACTTGCGGTATCTTAGAGTTTTCTGAGAACTGGAGAGGCCTCAGAAAGTATCTAATCCAAACCCCTCATGTACAGATGGAGAAATGTAGGTGCAGAAACGAGAAGTAACCTGACCAAGGTCACAGGGCCAGCAACACTGGGACTAGCTAGCATTCAAGAGATCTGATTCCCAAGCCATTGCTTTCTCCTTGGCTGCAGCTCAAACGGAACCGCTAATGGCATACTACTTAAGGAATGTCAGAGTGAAGAGTGATCAAGAGAGAGAAAGGATTATTGTATTCATTAAGATAGTATTAGATAGGAAGAATGAATGAATATGGATGGATATGTTGTCATATTCACAAAATGCATCATGTTTCTCTTTTGAAGAACAAACGTTTATGTCTTGTCACATGTCACCGCGGTCACCGTGTTCCAATATACACCAATTTTAGCAGCCCTGAGCCCACTGCAGTTTAAAGGCCATTCTCTTGCTGGACACATATACGAAAGGAGACTCACCCCCTACTCCAATCGCAGTGTCTCGAAAACCCCTCGAGTTTATTTCCTATACTTATTCTGATGGTGCATCAACTCACATTTCCCTTACTATTTTTCCACCTACCCCCTTGATTTCACCATTCTGACTAGTTGTCCTTCTCTCACCATACGCCTCAGTCAGCGCCCCCCGCCCGCCGCCCACTAGACAGGCCCCTCTAACACCTCACTTTTCCTTCTGCAAATCTCAGCCTTTTCGAACCCCACGACCTTCTCTCGCTTACACAGTGATGTGGCCGGCGCCGCGAACCAATACAGGGTCTGGGGCATATCTTCGCAGGTGCTCCTCGCTCACTACCCGAGGTGGGGGTGGCGCCTCCAGCGCTTCCTCCTCTTCTTCATCTTCCTCGTCGTCGTCGGGCCCCGAGGCAGAGGACGACGATGGCGACGATGGCGACGATGACGACGTTGCTGCTGCTTCCTCCTCCTCCTCCTCCTCTTCCTCCTCCTCCTCCTCCTCCAATTCCGAGATGGTGTCGAACTCCGCCATGTTGGGCAGCAGGATGCTCATCACGTGACCTCGCGCTCGCCGCCACCCTCACCGAGAAGACTTTAAACCTGCTAAGGTACTGGAAAAGGAGGAAGGACCGAATGAAAGAAAAGAGGCGGGGGGTTAACAGGAGCTGCGGGGCTGCGCCTGCGTGCTGGGGGCGACTCGGCAGGCTGGAGGCAGCGGAGGCGCAGGCACGGCGAGGAGCACAGTCAGTGTACGCTTGCGCGGCTGCCAGTGCGGGGGCTGTCCGAGGTGGACTGCAGGGAATTATCGAGGTCCGCTCTGCCCGCTGTGCTGGGCTGAATGTTGTTCTCTGGACTTCTGGGACTTGTATGGGGGAGGGCATCGCTAAAGGTTTGATGCCCTATTGAGTAATGCTAGGAAACCTTGATGCCTCAGAGGTTAAAGCGCTGAGCTGCAAAGCCAAAAGGTCGGCAGTTGGAACCCACCAGACGCTCTGCGGGAGAAAGATGAGGCAGTCGGTTTACAACCTTGGCGATCTTATGGAGCATCTCGGCTCTGCCTTTGGGCTCACTATGGGTCAGAATCCGCAAGAGGGCAAGCCGCTTCGGGTTTATTATTACCCGAGTGCAGGAGGGTGAGGGAAAGTATTTTCCTCAAAAATGGGATTATCATTTTGCCCAACATACATATCTCGAGATTGCCATTGTGTCTCAAGTTTTATACTAATCATTCGTGTTCCGCATTATAGTTTAATGCCAAAATCCTAAGAGAGAGAGTGAGCACTTTTTTTAACCCTTTACTGGAGAGGAGGCTTTCTATAACTTCTATGTAAAATTTATGGAGGATTTACTGTCAGGAACTGTGCTTAGTCTTCTATGGGCACGCCTCATTATGCATCTTGATGATCTCATTTTACAGATGGGAAATGCAGATGTAGAAAGGTTAAGTATTGGTCCAAAGTCATGGCACTACTAAATGGCAGACCTGATTTTAATTTCGAGTGGTCCTCCATTTCCCAAAGCCAGTTCTCTTAACCAAAGGCATATAGTCCCCAAATTGTCAGGACAGGCTTTGGAGAGTGGTGCCTTTTGTACTGTTTCTTTAGAGATGGATCGGAATATGTATGTTTAATTTGGGGAGATTATGTGGAGAATTTAACACCATCCATTTTCCAGACAATACCTAGACTCCTTCACATAGGCTCTCAACAAACCCATTAATAACCTGTGAGGTAATCATCATTATATCTGTTTTGTGGGTGAGAAAACTGAGTCTCAGGAAATTTAACTCCCATAACTTGCTCACTTTTATGATGATCTTTTGCCACGGGTTTTTCTATTTCATATATCCTGTCCTTTCTATTTTACACTCGCTGACAAATAAAGATCACGTATTTTGTTTCCAAACAATGCCGCATGCTGTTTCATACTTGGCAACAACACAAAAATACGTGTCATAATTTTGGGGTCATTGAGACAGCAAAGAAACACAGCTGCTCAGTAACAGAATAAACACTGCAATCCAGGGGTTCTAGGACCAGATTCACTGCTCCTCCCAATCACATGGTTAGACTAGGAAGACAGGCAAGACACCTTTGAATTTAAGACAAGGATTATATTGGTGTAAGGAAAATCAAGTTTATGAGTACAAAAGATGTTGTTTCTCTTAAGTACAAATCATCATCATCAATAAGTTTGGGTTATTAAAGTGAACAAACTCTCATTGTTGTATTCAATAGCTTGATTACTTAGGTCCTTTAAAAATAAGGTTTAACATCAATAAACAACAGAACTATTTGTAATAGAGACAACGTTATTAGCTAGAAGTTATAATAATGGAGACATTCAATATTTTATAGAGTTTTCTGGCAGGATATATATCAATTTGATTCTCTTGAGTATTAACAAATAAGATGACATATGCCAATTAATGGGGCCAAAGAACTTGTGACTTAAGATAAATTCCATATTATATGCAGTTCATTTTTTTTGCAAGAAGAAAACAAAGATTAAAAAAAAACCAGACGAGACTAAAACCTTTTCAAACATATTATCTATAAAAGGTCCACTAATTCAATGTCTATAGGGAATTATTAATTTGTTGCTATTGTTTGATGCTATCGAATCTGTTCCGACTCATAGAAAACCTATGCACAACAGAACGAAACACTGCCCCATCCTCACAATTGCCCATTGTTGTATCCACTGTGTCAGGCTGTCTCATTGAGGCCCTTCCTCTTTTTTACTGTCCCTCTACTTTACCAAGAATGATGTCCTTCTCCAAGGACCTATCTCTCCTGACAACATGTTCAAAGTACGTGAGATGAAGTCTCACCATCCTTTCCTCTAAGGAGAACTCTGGCGGTACTTTTTCCAAAACAGATCTGTTTATCTTTTTAGCAGTCCATAGTACTTTCTGTATTCTCCAGCACCATAATATAAATGCATAAATTCTTCACTCTTTTTAATTCAATGTCCAATTTTCACATTTATATGAGGCAATTGAAAATACCATTTCAATTGGTACGTTTGGGTCAGGCATACCTTAGTCCTCAAAGTAACCTCCCTGCTTTTCAGCACACTAATGAGGTCTTATGCAGTAGATTTACTCAATGCAATGAGTTGATTGATGGCTTGCTGGCTGCTTCCATGAACATTGATTATGGATTCAAACAAGACGAAATCCTTGACAATTTCAATCTTTTTCCCATGTATCATGATGTCACCTACTAGTGGAGTTATCAGGATTTTATAATCCATACTGTGTTAGTCCGGTTTGACTAGAGAAACAAATTCATAGATACTCATATGTGTATAAGAAAGAGCTTTATATAAAAGAGCAATTGTACATTGAGAAAACATCCCAGTCCAGTCCAGATCAAGTCCATAAGTCTGATATTAGCCCATATATCTGATACCAGTCTATAAAATCCTCTTCAGACTCATGAAACACATGCAATGATGCTGAATGCAGGAAGATCACAGGCCAGTGGGTGGGGAATCTTGTGGATCCAGTGGCCATGGAAGCATCTCCACATGGGTCTCCACATGGTTCTCCAGCTCCAGGGTTCTGGCTCCATCAGCGTAGCTCCCTCTGGCTTATCATCAGGAATGTGAAGCAGCGACTGGGTCTGGTCTCCAGTGAGCTATTTATCTCCATTGTGCTTTCACATGATGTCATCAAGTTGCGACCTGATTGACAGGCTAGATTCTACCCTTTCGTTCAAGTTGATAGATTATGTAACTGCCATACATACTGAAGGCTGCAATCCTTGATCTTCATCAGCATGTGCTTCAAGTCCTCCTCACTTTCAGCCAGCCAGGTTGTGTCATCTGTGTATTGCATCTTGTTAATAAGCCTTTTTCCAATCCTGATACCACATTATTCTTCACATACCACAGCTTCTCTACTGATTTGCTCTGTATGCAGATGGAATACATATTGTGAGAGGATACAACTCTGACACCTTTCCTTATTTTAAACCATGCAGTGTTCCCTTGTTTTCTTTGTCCAACTGCCTCTTGATCCATGGCAGTTACTCATGAATCACTGCCCGGTCCTGCACAATCCTCACAATTGTTGTTATGTTTGAGCTCATTATTGCTACGACTGTGTCAATCCATCTCATTGAAGGTCTTCTGATGTCCTTCTACTTTAGCATTCATGATACCCCCCTCCCCAGAGACTAGTCTCTCTTGATAACATGTCCAAAGTTCTTGAGATGAGGTCTCACTATCCTCGCTTCTAAGGAGGAGTCTGGCTATACTTCTTCCAAGACAAATTTATTTGTTCTTTTATCAATTCATAGTACTTTCCTTTTTCTGTGTGAGTGCCATAATTTAAGTGCATCAAGTCTTCTTTGACCCTTCTTATTCAGTATCCAACTTTCATATGAATGTGAGGCATTTAAAAATACCATGGCTTGGGTCAAGGCCGTCTTAGTCCTCAAAGTGACATCCATGTTCTTCAAGATTTTAAAGAATGTGAAGCTGTTTGTTTTCTTGACTGCTGTTTCCATGAACATTGATTGTCAATCCAAGCAAGATGAAATCCTTGACAACTTCAATCCTTTCTCTGTTTGTTTATTGGGCCAGTTGTAAAGATTATGGTTTTCTTTACATTGATTTGCAATACTGAAGGCTAAAATCCTTGATCTTTATCAGCAAGTCCTTCAAGTCTTCCTCACTTTTAATAAGCAAGATTATGTCATCTGCATATCACAAGTTGTTAATAAGTCTTCCTCCAAGCTTGATGCCAAGTATTTCTTCATATAGTTCAGTTTTTCTGTTTTTTTGTTCAGCATACAGATTGAGTAAGTATGGTGAGAGGATACAACCCTGAAGCACACCTTTCCTGATTTTAAACCATGCAGTATACCCTTGTTATGTTCATACAACTTCATCTTGATCCATGTTCTTCACGAGCGCAATGAAGTGTTCTGGATTTTCCACTCTTCTCTGTTATGATCCACAGAGTTGAATATCTTGGCATACTTAGTAAAACACTAAGTAAACATCTTTCTGGTTTATTAATTATAAATTTAATATTGCTTAAATCGTAACTTTAAAAAATCATTTTATTGGGGGGCTTGTACAACTCTTAACACAATCCATCCATCCATACATTGTCTCAAGCACATTTGTACATATGTTGCCATCATCGTTTTCAAAGTATTTTCTTTCTACTTGAGCCCTTGGTAACAGCTCCTCATTTTTTCACCGTCCCTCCCCTTCCCTCCTAAATGAACCCTTGATGATTTACAAATTATTGTTATTTTTCATGTCTTGCACTGTCCGATGTCTCCCCCACCCCCTTTTCCATCCCCCTGGGAGGGAGTTATAGGTAGGTCATTGTGATCGGTTCCCCCTTTTCCCCCCACTTTCCCCTTCCCCTCCCTGTATGGCTACTCCCAATATTGTTCCCAAGGAGTTTATCTGTCCTATATCGCCTGTGTTTCTAGCTCTTATCTGTACCCATGTACCTGCTCTGGTCTAGCCAGATTTATAAGGTAGAATTAGGGCAATGATAGTGGGGCGGGAGGAGGAAGCATTCAAGAACTAGAGGAAATCTGTATGTTTCATCGGTGCTACACTGCGTCCTTACTGGCCCATCTTCTCCCCACAACCCTTCTGTAAGGGGATGTCCAATTGCTTACAGATTGGCTTTGGGCCTCCACTCCGCACTCCCTTCTTCATTCACCTTATA